CCCAGACATCTGATAGAGGTAGACGAAGGTCTTGTCGTAGACCTCCTCGGGTCCTCTAAGGAGACCTATCGCCAACGGGAACAGTGTTTACAAAACATGGAAGACCTATGTGCACCCCCGCAATACATTCGAGGAGGAAAAGGGAGGAGCGTCAACATCCGAGTACAACTCGAAACCTTAGACACCACTCAAATACGAGCAGTCGACGCCCTGGTAGACAGTGGATGCACCGGAAGCTGCATAAATCGAGCGTTCGTACAAGAACAACAAATGAACACAGTCCAACTACCAAAAGCACAGGCTGTGTACAACGCCGATGGAAGCAGGAACAAAGGAGGAGACATCACGGAAATAGTGGAACTACGCATGACAATTGGAGACCACAGTGAAAAAATCGACTTAGCCGTCGTAGACCTGGGAAACGTGTCCATGTTCCTAGGACACGACTGGCTCAAGCGCCACAACCCAATCATCGACTGGAAAACCGGGACGGTAACCCTAGCCAGATGTTCCTGCCGCAAAATACCCTTTCTACTCCCAGATGAAGACCCCGAACAGCAATGGGGAACGGAGATAGAAGAAGGAGATACCATCCTCGTGATAGACTTCGAAGAAGCCTTTCACGTTCGGGCCATGGGAAGCAAGGCCAATGAATTAGCCACCAAAGCCAATCAAGCAAAGAAAGCAAAAACGTTCGAAGAAATGGTACCGGAACCGTACCGGGAATTCCACGACGTATTTGCAAAGGAAAACTTTGACGAGCTACCACCATGAAAACCATGGGACCATGCCATTGAACTAATCCTGAACGCCAATGCAAGTTTGGACTGCAAGGTGTATCCCTTAAACCCCACTGAACAGGAGGAGTTGGACAAATTCCTGGACGAAAATCTAGAATCAGGAAGAATCCGACCCTCCAAATCCCCTATGGCATCCCCATTCTTCTTTGTCAAAAAGAAGGACAGAAAGCTTCGACCTGTACAAGATTACCGAAAGCTAAATGAAATGACCATCAAAAATCGGTATCCTCTCCTGCTCATCGGAGAACTGATGGATCAACTAAAAGACGCCAAATATTTCACAAAGCTGGACGTACGATGGGGATACAACAATGTGCGGATCAAAGGAGGAGATGAGTGGAAGGCAGCATTCCGAACCAATAGAGGGCTGTTCGAACCCATGGTGATGTTCTTCGGACTCACCAATTCACCAGCAACATTCCAATGGATGATGAATGACCTGTTCAAAGAACAAATCGCGCGAGGAGACGTCACAGTATACCTGGACGACATCCTGATCTGCACCAAGGATCGGGACCAACACCGGGCGGTGGTACAAGAAGTCCTGACAATTCTACGCGCCAACAACCTATTCCTAAAAGCGGAAAAGTGCGAATTCGAGGTACTAGAAACCGAATACCTCGGGGTAATAATCAGTCAAGGGTCGATACACATGGATCCCGTAAAAGTCAAGGGCATTGCCGAATGGCCCCAACCCACCAAGAAACGAGAGTTACAATCGTTTTTGGGCTTCACGAACTTTTACAGAAGGTTCATACGGGATTATAGCAAACACGTACGACCATTAACCCAGCTCACGGGAAAGGCAGAATGGACATGGGGAGCGACTCAAGACCGCGCATTCAACAAAATCAAGAAGAAGCTGATGGAAGAAGTGGTGTTAGCAATACCCACACGAACAGGGAAATACCGCGTAGAGGCAGACGCTAGTGAAGGAGCAATAGGGGCAGTACTATCCCAAGAGCAAGAAGGAAAGTGGAGACCAGTAGCATTCCTATCCAAAGCCTTAACGGTCACAGAGCGAAACTACGAAATCTACGACAAGGAGCTCTTGGCAATCATGTTAGCCCTCGAAGACTGGAGGCACTACCTAATGGGCGCCCATCAGGAATTTGAGATCTGGACAGATCATCAAAACCTACAGTACTTCCGCAAACCCCAGAAACTCAATCGAAGGCAAGCACGATGGGTAACCGAGTTAGCGGAATACCATTTCATGCTACACCACAAACCGGGAACAGCCAATAGAAAAGCAGACCTCTTATCCAGGAGAGCGGATCATGACCAAGGAGGAGAAGACAACAAAGAAGTAGTGGTACTCAAGCCAGAAGCGTTCAGGGCATTAATCATGCCGGGAGAAGAAGAAATCCATAAGCGCCTCCGAACGGCGCTACGGGACAGTACCCGGTGGGACAAAGGAATTGAAGCCTCCCTTCACCATCCCAGAGGAATAACACAGAAAGAGGGGCTAATGTACTACGACGGACGGCTATACGTACCTCGGGACGCCAAGCTGCGAGGAGAGCTAATCGCAATCCATCATGATCATATCACAGCCGGGCATCCTGGGATCGAAAAAACCAAGGAACTTGTACAGCGAGAGTACTGGTGGCCCAAGCTCAAAAACGACGTAGAACGGTACGTGAAAGGCTGCGAAGCCTGTCAACGAACCAAGACAAGCACTCAACGTCAAAGGGCACCTCTACATCCCCACGCCGTACCTTCCAGACCATGGGAACACATTACGGTAGATATGATAGGCGAACTGCCCGATTCAAACGGGTACAACGCCATCCTAATGATAGTGGACCGTTTCTCAAAGGAAGTCATCCCGGTACCCTGTTCCACGGAGTTAACCTCCAAAGGGTGGGCCAAGATTCTTCGAGATCACGTATGGGCCAAGCACGGAATGCCCCAGAAGGTGATCTCTGATCGAGGACCGCAATTTGTGTCCAAATTTATGAAAGAGCTATACGAGATGCTACACATCCAAGGAAACCCATCCACGGCGTATCATCCCCAAACCGATGGGCAAACCGAACGAGCAAACCAAGAGATTGAAAAATATCTCCGCATCTTCATCAACCACCGACAAAATGATTGGAGTGAGTGGTTACCCCTCGCAGCCTTCCAGCATAACAACCGAAAGCATTCCGCGACCGGATACTCCCCCTTTGAGGTCAATCATGGACAAAAGCCTCATCTCGTTCCGCTCACAATCAAGGAAGGAACCAATCCGGCCGCCAGGGAATTTGTGGCAGACATACAGAAAATACATGAACAAACGGCAAAGGCGCTGGAAAGGGCGGCGGAAACCATGAAACGACAGTATGACAAACACCAACGAGCGGCAATAGAGTACCAACCAGGAGACCAAGTATGGTTGGACTCTACAAACCTATCCCTTCCACGACCAATGAAGAAGTTGGGAGACAAGCGCGTTGGACCATTTGAAGTACTCTCCAAACACGGTGCGTCGGCATATAAATTACGACTTCCCGCCACGTGGAAAATTCATGATCGTTTCAACGAAAACCTCCTCACTCCATACTGCCCACCGGAGTTCCCAATCCAAATACAGCCATTACCTCCACCACCAGATCTCGTAGACGGACAAGAACAGTATGAAGTGGAAGAAATTGTAGACCACAGGGAAAGAGCACGAGGAAGAGGAAGAAGACGAGGCACGGGAATTGAATATCTCGTCAAGTGGAAAGGATATCCCCGAGAGGAAAACTCCTGGGTCGACGAACAAGACCTAGACAACGCCAGAGACGCGATAGAAGACTTCGAGCAAGTCTCATTTATCACTCGACCTCCCGCAGAGTGGTGGGAAAGCGAAGACGAATCCGATTCTTGGTCTGAACATGAATCGGTAACCGAGTCAGAAACCGACCACCCATTGGTACAGGCAATCAAAGAATACCTGATAAAGCCAAATACACCCTCTCTCGTAGGAGCCTATCTTCCGAAACCAAGTTATGTTGCAGTCGGGATGACTGCCTTAACAGGGGGGTAATATTACGATTTCATGCCTTATCTTATCTTATCGTCTTCATCGTAATCCTGCTATGCTAGTTTTCCGGACTTGATCGCATTCCCCATGCGGGTCTAGTGCGTCTAACGCACCGTTGCAGACACTTGTAGTATATTTAGCACGACCCAAACTGTATTTAAGTAGCTCGACTGCAGGTCTTAAACCTCAGTCTCGAACTAAAGTTTATTCACCCGATAACTTAGTCTGAACTCACTCTCGCTCAACTAAGCGATAGCTCCCTTAACGCAAACCTGTGGACAACACAAAGCGCCTGACCGAAGTGCGAGTCACACTTAGTTGTTTGATCTTGTTTGTTGTATTGGTCGCTAACACCCTGTGTCTAAGAAGAAACCTGGGCATTCCAGTCATGGGCCTGATGTTTTGTCTTGGAAAACAAAGGGTACGACATCGTTTGGTGTTATCATTTTAATTGACTCTAACGAGTTTTAGTGCCGACATTTGATGGTCAACAAGGTTTCAAATTAAAGGAATACTGGGATTTGAACCCTGTCAATTCAGGGGAGCTCTCCGAATTCTTGACTGCCTTGGTTATATTCACTGCCACGAAGTATCAGATGGCGTCCGGCTCCTACCGCATGGGACTGAATATTCAAAGTGCGGTCCTTCTCGCCAAGCATCACGGCACTGACTGGTCTCATCCTCCTGCTGTTGGGTGGCATCTGTCTCTGCTCGACGAGTCAACCCTTGGCATGGAAAACATTGTCCCTTATCAACCGGAGGCTGAACAGCCAGATTTCAAACCATCGGAGAGTGACAACGACTCAGCTGATGGCTTTTTATAAACTTTCCCTTTTTATCACCTAGCACTCAGTTTCATATATTTTCTTATAGATAGATTTCTTTATTACATAGAGCTCGATTTTATAGATTTTCATTGTGGTACTATGATTGAGAATGAATTTTTCATTCAGAAATTTCTTGTTAGATCCAGTGAAAGTTTGCCGTATCATGGAGGCTTGGAGTCACTTTCATTGTATGAGTCATCTTTTCGTTATTTAAAGGCTAATCAAGAAAAAGGTGATTTGGTCCTCTTATACGTTCTTCACAATTTGAACACCTACACCCTGGCGATGAACAGGTTCTTGTACATGTTGTAGTTCACTGTGGATTAATCGTCTTATCTTTGCACCAGGTTAGGACCAATGGACGACTGTTTGCTACATGACTTACCTATCAAAGAGATTTCAGCTTTGTCTGTCACTGGATCCATTGGCAGACAAGTAGTTCAGGATTTCAAGGGACATGCGTATCAGATTGAATTGTTTCTTTGTCCTTTCATGACTATGTCACAATACAAAACTTTCCGTGTTCTTCAAGCATTGACAGGGCTACTTATTTCCGGATCTGCGGCCCTTCAATTCCTTGACCGTGTTCGATATCCAGGCACCAACTTGAATTTATATGTAAATCAGCAATTCAATGTCCAGGTTCATGCATTTCTGGTGAAAATCGGATACAATTTTCTCTCCTCTGATGGTAACGCTTTCCATAAACACAACTTCAAGATAGACGCTCTTGCGGCAGATATTAGGGCACGTTTCCAACAAATTTACCGACGCCAACCTTGTTGTGACCCTGCGATTCTCACAGTTTTCTGTTACAACAACGTGGATGGTATGAAGATCGATGTGACAATGACATTGTTCAGTCCCTTTCAAGCAATTGTGGGTTTACTGAATAGTAAGTCCTGATATTCATTGTATAAATGTGTCTCTGAATCAAGGTTGGCGTTAGTATGTACAATGAATGTCATTTCGTATGTGCACGCCATCTCTCTCTATCCCAAAGCGACATTTGTGGATCGGGTCACTTGTCAAACAGAATCTTATGACATCGCTGTCACGTCTGAATGTATCAAATATAATGAAAGAGGATGGAATTCTATTTCTCAAATGAGAGCTCTCCTCTGCCCAGAGTTCCAAAGAGAGCGTCGTGTGGGAGATCAATATTCCTGGGTGCTCCCTCTCAGGCATGAAGACTTTCCTCCCATTGCGCTGTCTTTGGATATGGTCTTCACTCATGGGTGGAGATATAATTCAAGACCAGATTCTCCTTGTATGTTTGAATGGCGCTTGTTAAACCGTAGTGGAAGCGTAACCGACATTGGCTTTTCTGGAGATTGGTATGTCTGTCGAATACTTAATGCGTATCTCCAAGAAGAGGACACATCTGATGAGACATGGTAAGCATTTAATGATGATTGAGAAAGTCACAAACCTGATCTATTGCATTCAAGGTCTGATGAACATATTCTTAATGCCATGGCCATTGCGATCCCATATGGATCCTGGTGGGATAATATTAGTGCTGTAGACTACATCATTACGGGTTAAATTTATGACTCATGTGATTGGCTAGTAAAAGTTAGACAGTAGAAAGCTGGAGCTTGGGAGATAAAATGTAGCTGCACAGCCTTGTGTTAAATTGCTCTCAGTCATTTCAACGTTGACATGCTTCCGAAGCAGTATCATCGATCTGATAATGAGTCGACGGTTTTTTTCTTTAAAAGACTAGGAGTCACCAATGGTCCCTCGCACATTTAAGCATGTCTGCAACTGCACGAAACAACACTCTCGACCTTCCAATGGTATCGACAGATATAGTGATTTCAGGCAGCACTCTAAATCAAAGTATTGACGTTCCTTCTGCTGGAACAGCTCCTGAAGAGGTGAGTATCACTGGGGTTGCGACCATTACTTCTGACATCACCGCCATTCATGATGTCTCTCCACCAGATTCGGCTGTCGGTTTGGCTCTCCCATCACCCACGCTGCTCGGTGGACCCACCAGCTGTATGTATTCCATCTACCTCTTCTCCTCTTGCAAACTCAGAAAGGATACAGCTTCTGAAATGGATATCGAAGCAGTGGCTCCTGTGTCAAGTTCGATCCTGGCTGATTCTCATGTCGAATGTATGTGTGCCACCTAACAAACCTAAACTGCTAGACTCAATCTTATCAGCTTCGTGTGTAGGTGTATCAGCCGAACCACCTCGGGGCACCGCATGGTTCATTGGTACAGAGTATCCTTATGTACCAGGACCTCTCAGTGCAATAAGCAATGCAGCAAGTCAACGCTGGTATGCTGTTACCCATGGCATTAGAGTTGGTGTATTCCTTGATGCGTTAGTTCCATGTTATCCGTGCTTTTCTGGCATGTCGTTAATGGATTTTGGTAGTGCTTCTGCTACGGATGTTACCAGTGGTGTCAAGAATGCGTCTATGGTCATGCGAAAATTTCAGCATCAAGCTCTTCAAGTATTCAATAACGCATTGGCCAGCGGAAAAGTTAGAATCCTGCCTGGAAAAGCTCAGCTCCACGCAGGACCCCCTTTCATCATTGTCACGAGTGATAGCGAAGAAGGTACGTACTTAAAAATGAGATGTTATTTGTGTCTGACTCGCCTGTCTAGACGTGGAATAATTCTCTGAGATGTTTCTCAACAATCAATGTAGTACAGTAGAAGTTTATTGTATTCGTTGCTTGCAATTTTCAGATGAGTTCAAACATATATGGGGACCCCTCGCATGAGCACTATGTAAGTCGAAACTTTTCTTGCTATCCCTCAGTTAATGTACAGAATGAGCATGATGTTGGATGTTTAAATTTGTCGATTCCTAAGTACTCTAATACATGGTCAGAGGATATTCACAATATATGTTACTGCACCAATCACTGAGAGTCCACGTGAAGTGCATGCTGTCTAATGGTAGCAAGTGTCGACAACTCTCTTTCATAAAAAAATAACCTCCCCATTGAAGAATGCCAACACCCCTCCAACCAGTGAGGGTTCTCTGGATCTGACCACAAGATAGCCCACAGGGCCGATCGAGTCCATTACCCTCAACAATCAAGGTTAGAGCTTGATCCTTTAGCCTTTGCAGGCGTTCTGGCAACAATGGAGTAGGACTAAGGGCAACATTGTCAAAGGGATCTCCTTGAAAGGCTTTGAAAGTTAACCCACATGAAGTGGCATCAGGGTACAGACAGTAAACATGGCTGCTTGTGATCATGTTCATCTGACTTGTCACTTGAGCACTGATGACTGGAAGCATGCATGATTCGGTTCTACTCTCTATGAGGATGATGGTACCCTGGAAAATAAGATCAGTGCGTGGCGAGTTCTGATGTGGAGACGGTGCATACTGGTGATAATTCTGGGTGACGGTAGAGACACAGGCTATTCGCAATAGATGATTGGATGGAAGGGTAATGATGGTCTGCGATGACGTCCCTATCGGAGATGTCTCCTCCCTCGTACCTGTTACTAGTCATCAATGATTTCCACTGTTTAAGACCGCCATGAGGAACAGCAATGTTTAAATCCTGAGAGGACCACGGAGGCGATGAATTCAAAGCAAAAAAAGCTGCTGAGCCGATGATTGCACTGTCCGATTTATCAAGTACTGAAAAGAACTGGAGAAAATGCCAATCAAGAATGAAAGGGCAGATTGAAGTTTGGATGCGTGCTTGAATAAGAACACGACACAGGTAACGAAAGTGTCTACTGACTCGAGCCAAAGCAGCTATTTGTTGGATATCGCATTGAGCCAATATTTTGTTCATAGATCGAATGGAGTGCGCTACATGATAACCAGGTGTTTGTGATGGTGTCAACATAGCGAGGACTGAATACGGGCCATGCTCAAAGCTTCGATATACCATAAATCTGCATTCAACGGAACCGTATATTGCGTAATATGATTATGTTGTGTACAACTTACTACATATTACACAGTAATACTGACTCATGATTCTTGGCCCCTTCACACGGAGGTTAAGCTAATCGATATGTCAGCATGGAGTACCAAGAAATGGATGATAAGAGATGACTTACCAGCAAGTGGATCTTCATAGGCGGCTATGGAGGTGATTGGGACACAATGTGTTGCTGCAACATTCACCTAGTCTCCATTCTAATTGACAATGTTCGTCTGAGATGAGTTCGTTATCATACATTTTCATACCCAGATATCCGTCCCAATGGAATATGCCAATGTCTCTGTACATAGACAATGTTCGATCTATGAGAGGACAGGCGATGCCACAGGGTTGGTCGTAGTCTTTTCCGTCATTGAAGAAGGACAGCTCCTGATTGAGAAGTATGGCTCGTCTGTGCTGTGTAATAGGTGAAGGTATTTGCATTGAGCCTCTTGTGGGTGTCCCTTGGTACCCCTTGAACGTCATACGTCGGCAAGTCAGTGATGGGTAGAAGCAGTAAAGGTGGCTGCTGGACAACACGTTCATCTGGCTAGTGACTTGGCTGCCCAACAGTGGTACAAACAGTGATTCATTGATGCTGGTGGCTATGATAATCTCTGCCTTAAAGATAACAATTATTATCAACCTTAACAATCAAAGGAATCGCGGGGCTTCACCTTGGTTTCTTTCTGCATGTATATGTATATGGTACACATCGTACTGTTTTGTCTTGCAGGGAACAGAGGATGAACATAGCCGAGGTCGCCAACTCTTCATGAGGTATAACCATGAAATGTCATAAAAGTCCTCCATGCTTGAAATGAAGATCTCGGAATTGAGATGTTCAAATTGGCCGGTTCCCAACTGCAATGGGGTGTAAGAACAGCTAGAGCTGATGACCCAATGATGAGGCTATCTGTTTTATCAAGAAGCGCAAAAAATTGGAATAAATGGGCTTCCAGGATAAAGTGGCCAACAATATGCTTGAGGCGGGAATGGATGATGCCCTTGGCGATTCTACACGTCTTTTCACTAACATGAGACCAGCGAACAAGGTGTATGATGTCACAATGGCAAAGTGTTTGCAAAATCAATTCTTCTGCCTGATAAAACCATTTGGCTGCTGGTACTTTAGAAAGGAAGTAGTTTGCCCAGATTGTCATAATGATGGGAGGTGTGCATCATGGTGAATGGTCGCGGTCTGGCTTTAGCCTTTGGGGTGTTTGATTGAACATCATGTGATCATAATCAGCTCTGATGTGCCATATCCAGTCTGGCTTTTTGTCACTTGTTCTGCACCACAACTCTCCATACGCACACCATGTTCTTAGGAACGACCAATGAAAAAGTTGAACAAAAAAGTGTACTTCATGAAAAGGTGAGGCCACTCTACTATTTAACCAACTATTGGTGATACCGGCGCTACAGGTCTTCTTCTGCATGGGCTTCTTCTACGGAGCCCGAAGCAGTAGGAGAGTCCTAGTGCCTGTTCCATTGTTGGACAGTGTTCATAACAATTGTACTTGATCTATCGATGATGTCAACCACACTCATTGGATCTCCCTTTCTTCTTACCAAGGCAGCATCTTGGATTGTTCCAAAGGCCGAAGACTCGTGGATCTCTCACCCGTCATGCAGGCGAACAGACGTGTCTACTGCTACTACATCTTTTACGTCCTCAAGTCAGATAGCTGCATCTGGACTGAGAATACTATTTTGAAGGCTTGGGACCCATCGATTTCCTACCGGGGTGACATCCTCATCATGAAACTCGCCGGTCCTCAATCTATAGATGACATAGACGTCAACGACAGAGAAGATGCAGATCACCTCATTCGGGTGTACATTGCTTGTTTTCATTTCCCTACTTCTTATGACCCTTTCAATCCAGTGCGATTCATCGGGGCTGGCTTCTGTAACATTTTCGGTTACATAGTTTTTGGACAAATTGCTTATCTCCTTTGTTACTGATCTAAAGCACCCCTCTGATGAGTGTATGTGTTCCTGTACTGCTATCTAGTCCACTTATCAGGTTGCTCTTGTTAGATCTGAGACACTGAAATGAATAGCTGATATCAGTGCATTCACTGACTCATTCATTGGAAATTGTGCCGAACTGAGTTAGCATTGTAAAAATGACTAAGTTTCTGCCAACAACCGATGAATACTGAACCAGCCGACGTAAATGGATTAATCAAAGTTGCTCTGTCTGCCCATCTTCATCGTTACATTTCCGAACCGCTATGTACCTGTGAGCATCTGGATTTGTGTCCTGCTAGCTTAGCTTACCTTGCTCTCATTTCAGTTTGCGCACTATGGAAGACCCACTCTTAAGGGATCTATCTCCTCTGGAGGAACGATCTTTATCCCTGACTGGTTCACTCGGTTTGGCAATAGTTGACAGTTTTCGCAAGCGAGCGTATCGTATAGATGTTCACATTTTGCCTTATTTCATGGCCTCTCATTATAGTGAATTTTGTGCGTTGCAAGCTGATACTGGACTCTTAATTTCAGGCGATGTTGCCCTTCAATTTTTCGATAGAGAAATACCTAGTGGCTGTGTGCTCGAATTATATGTCCACCATGGTTTTGCGGTTCAAGTGCACGACTTTCTCACCAAAATCGGATACGTCTTGACTCCACGATGGGGCAATGGCTTTGCCGACGTCAATTGTATGCTAGCCGACATGGTTCGAAGTGTTTGGGATGAGTTCCCTTCTAGGAGACCGCCCAGTTTCTCAGATCCTGGCATTGTAGGCGTCTTCCCCTACCAAAATGCAGACGGAGCATGGATCGAAGTCAGGACAATGATGTTTTGTGCTCTCCAGGCCGTTTTGAACTTTCCTGCTAGTGAGTTGAATTTTATCGTAATATTTATATATTAATGTTCTGTTAGCATGCATTATGAACATCATAACATATGCCCATGCAGTATCTTTGTATCCCCACACAACATTCATCGAACACGTGGCCTTCTGAAGTTCCACTTACTGCGAGGCCGATGTTTTGACTCGATCCAAATTAACGACAAAAGGCTGGAAGATGCTTCCTCAATATGCTGCATTGAATCGGCCCGATTTCACAGACTGAAGAGTCGGGGATCATTTTTCTTGGATTATACCGCTTAGATGCGAGCAACCACCTCCCCAGGATCCACGACTCGACATGGTGTTTGCAAACAGTTGGAGGCTATCTCACGGCCCCCCCTCACGGTACCTCCTCGAATGCTCTATCCTTCAGCATCCCGGTTCGAAGGAGGGTTACTGCTTCTCAGGAAATTATGCAAAGGCGTTGATCGATGACTGTAAAGCCAAGGACAACGAGGGTCAGATATGGTATGTTCTGCAAATTTTGAGTGCTTCACCCTTATGAGAATTTATACAGGTCTGATGAACATATCCTCTGTGTTATGCGGCAGATCATCGAAGGTGGTCCATGGGAGGAATGTCTCGTAGACTCCGATTATTTGATCCAAGCCCCCGCTACATGATTCCTGTGGCTTTTGGATATAGAAATTCATATGTTCCCCTCTTGACTATTGACCGAATACCTCGCTCATGTATATTCATAAGAGTTACTACATAGATTCACTTTACTTCTCAAGATATGTGAGCCAGGTATTCCACCGTTGTTTCTTCTCGAGTTCGGATGTAGATGATTAGTCTTCGAGTATTTAAGTTTGTTTAACATCGAGACACCATGCATCTATATATATTACCATTGACTTGGAAAACTATGTCTACTGAGAGGATTGTACTGCCTGTACGAATTAGTACTAAGAACAACCCTCAACGCTCATAATTCAACTTCATGTATCTCTATGCAAATCACATGCGCAATGAATCCCTGTGAGTCAATTACTTAGTAGACTACGACACAAGCGAAAATGCGCTCACTTCAATTTTGGGCACAATGTTGGACAAGCGCACTAAGCCAAGAGTAAGGACAACGACCTGATTGGCAATCTGCTGCATCAAGAGCTCTGGGGTGTTGAAATCTCCATGGTACAACTGAGCCATTTCCTTTCCTATGCATGAGTACAGCTCCTGCAGGTGCCGTCAGTTAAAATGAATCGTTATTCGAAGTGAGAGGTTCACAATTGTATCAAAGTCGACGTATACCAAGATGTCATTGTCCTTCTCTCCGGTTAACCAGCGTACATGACGACTATTCTGTTTTTCGGTGTCAACCATGCAGCACACATGGCCAGGGTATATCCACATACAATGTCCTTTTCTTGCTGGATGATATCCTGCAACACACGTACTTGGGTGTCGAATAAGATGGATGCGATGCCTTCCGCAGCCTTGTTAGTGACCTTGAACCATCCTTTTTGGTGATACTCAGGACGCTTAAATGTTCATCAGCATCCGTGGCTGCATCATCAGAAGAAACTCACCAATAAATGCATTACTACCGACATGCCCGGTTCCAATTTCCTAAAAATGATGCACTCGTGTTCCTCCGAAAGAACATCGTCTCCTTTGAAAGTAAAGGTACCGTTCCTCTTGAAATTAACGTGTTGGCTTGGGATGACTTTGCTGAGGAAGCATTGACATGAAGATCTGTATAAATCCATGGAGAATTTGTCCATCGTGTTAAGAAGTGTCTGGCTAAAAAGTTTTGGTTGCACAGATGAGGAGAGTGAAGTGGGGGTAGATTTGGGAATGAACTGGCCTTCAGCGTTCGACTACCGTCATTATGAATTTCTTTGCCATTAACTGGATTGGAACCAGTCTGAATGAGTCGGCCTGGCAGTACCACTAAACTGAGTGACAGGCTGGTTTGGTGTCTAATCATTATTCCAGAGTCTCAGTTTTTTTTCTTTATCAACGCTAAATTTTTATTCAAGTCCACCGCTTACCTCTTATTTTGGTGCCCTTGGGTGGAATCCAATCTCGATGATATTGCTCGCGATATGGATTTGAAGGGACTGTCTCCACATAACATAAAGATGGATAAATAAAACTTTATTTCTGGCAGATATGAACCTAGTTGGACAAGTGGATGAGTCTGGACAGCCTTGGAGTGAGGGGGAGCCATTTTCCTGGCGAACAACATGATCAGAGTTGACTTGTGTTTGTCGGTGCCTGTCGGCGGTGCTGATTGGTTATCTTGTAGTTTTCTGACCGACCCCTAGCTACAAACCGCTCTTTTATATTCGCATACTCTTCTCAATTATGGCGAGCCTTTCCTATCATTATGCAAATCATACCCCGCCACGACATTGAGGTTTTGCACCAATGCGAGAGACTCATGATGTTGGAATCGGTATGGTCCTGCATCGCATGTTTGCTGACATGACTTAAATTTCCTCTAGGATCCCGCCAGCGGCTTGAAATCGGTCATCGGCATATTCTGGGGCGTTCGATGTAACGAGGCTTATCGGGTCCCAGTTTTCTTGAGAAACTACAGCGTCCTTTACACCATCAAACATTTGGATGTCAGCAGCTGGGTCAGACGCAAGAAATCTGTAGTCGCCGATCGCCATATAAACCGTAGAACCATTTCGTCCAATGACGGTCTGTCATTCACGCTCTATTTCAAAGAAGGGTCTACTCACAATCATCTCATATCCAAACTCCACCCTAGACAATATTGCATGGGCAACATCTTAATGGTCATGCACTCAGCATTGACTAGTGAACCGTTGTCAATCCCAGCTGACCTGGTCGACAGCGTGACCGAGATCATGCTCAAGTACGTTCTGTCCATACCCTCCGAGTATTCTGTATTTATTGATTTCAAATAGGGCTAATCACAAGTTTGAAGGTGAGAGTCGGCTCGACATGCCCATTCTGTCTGTGTCCCCCGACCTATTCAATTCATTCAACTCCGGAAACTTCGACGACTTTCTCAGTAAATTTGACAAGCTACAAGTCGAACATGTACCTCTGCTTGCTCCCAGGGTGAACCGCTACATACTCATGCTGAAGACTTCGGAGTGCCCAAGTGCATACCAAGTCTTCTTCTGCCCTGAACTATTGGAGCAGATCTTATACAGAGCAGACCTGTGCAGCCTCACAGTTCTACATGAGGTGTCGCGTTACAGTTGTGATTGCATGCAAGGGATGATGCGAAGAAGAATGCGGGAGTTGCTCTCCTTGTTCCTCCCCCCCGAACACATCCAACCTTTCCTCACACTCTTGGATTACACTCAGTCTTCAATTGGAGGCTCTTTTGCGACCTGCTTGTTAATGTGGGAGAAAGGTTGGAACCCCATGAACTTGAACTTATTTGTGCCGTCCACGATGCAGTAAGTTTGATTTTCGCCCTTGTCAACTTTTCTCTCACTTTTTTCATCAGTTTATGTTGGTCTCGGTTTTTTGCCGCTTGCCCAGAAAAGAAGACCAAGGTGAAGAAATGGACACCGTCTACCATTAATAGAGGAACGTCCCTCGTAGAAGAGATCTGGACTTTGGGTGCTGGATATGTATGTTTATTCATCTTGATTGTTCTTTGGTTAAATTATCGTATAGAGACAAATTCACATTTCAGAGGGCGACTACTCTTCGGTTTTGGGTCGGGCTTGGGACTACAGGTCTTCGGCTGATTTGAACATGGTCACAGCTACCTTGATATTTTGCCCCTACCCAGTGTTGACCATGCAGTATAAAGCTTTAGCCAAAAATCCGGAAGGCGTTCATCCAGGCTATGTCCTAGATATGGAGGACAAGAATGTGCAAATCCTGCTCAACACTGGTGGCTTCAACAAGCCATGTCAATATATCTGTCTGACTATTGACCGCAAATTCAAGTATTTACGCGGGTTTGCGAAGCTGACTTTCTACGAAAACATGAACAACATTTTATCCCAACCTCAGGAAAGTGTTGATGTCACGACATCCTCGTTTTTGTGGAGATTGGGCGACGAATGCCATAACCAGCATTGTCACAATAGTTGGAGATTCAATGACGTCCCGGTTCTGCAGCCACTCGTACTATATTTTCCCAGCCAGGCAACGTGAGTCAAATCGAATCTTATTAACTTAGATAAGTCATGCATTCCGTAGAATTTAAATATTGGTTCTTGTCCTTATGCAATATCCTATCCAATTTATCTCCTTGCGATTCTTTCGATGGCCATGTCCCTACCCAGACGCCTCTCTCAGCCCACCAATGATTGGATCATATCAACTAGAAACCGCACTTTTGCAGCTAGGGTGCGTGTCGTGGACCTGCTGGTTTTGTTTCCTTACGCATGAATCTACTTCATCAGGTATGCCGTTACGGATATTTATACGGTACTGCTTGCACAGAGAAATGTCGAGTTAGAATCCCCCTATTCTCCTCCGTAAACGATGGCCTCGTACGATTGATCAATGATTTAAACGTCAAATGTTGGTTCCCTGAGTTTCGTCTACCCAACGGTCTACGACAATCACAACAGTGCCAAATGACTTTTGATGCTTCTTCTATGTTAGCTTCAATCTCCAAGGCATCTTTCGTGATTTTCTTTGTGCCTCTGCTGAACCCCAGTGCACGAGTCCGGGTGAATAAAGCCCTCGAGGTCTTGTCGTCAGGAGCGGTGCTGTGGCACGGGAATCTGCTGATAGTGAAGAGTTCGCCTGAAGGGCTTGTGGAGGACATGGCAGAGGACGAAGACATGCTTGCGGACCTTGTCGCACTTCGGTGAGTAAATCTAATATTTCATGTCGGACTGCACTTATTATTAGCTCAGTTATTGCTTTACCAAACACAGGTGTTGCTCTTTATGTGCTAAAACCTAACTGTGTAATACCTATTACTCGTGTCTATGGTAGCACTGAAACAGTAGTAGCTAGATTCCATACATACACTTGTCAATGCCATGGCCGTAGTCTAAGCCCCTGTGATACCAATGCCATGTTGAGCCATAATGAGCCGGATTTTCAACACACTTGCAATGTGTTTCTACGTCTGACTCCCAGATTCTGACACAGACATGCTTGCACGTTGCCAATCCAAATGCTGACCAATCGAGTTTCCCCATATTCGTTCGTGGTCCTGCAAGCTGAACGGCTTCCATATCAACAACCGTTGAACATTGTTCTGTGCCATGAACATCGAACAAGAAGACATTCGATGCCCATGTGTCACTCCCTGACGCTAACCAATTTCCGTCGGGTGATAAAGATATCCCCGCATGGAAATTGTGTGTGCGTAAAGCTGGATGTGAGTAAGTGTCTCGCATCGGATTGAGTGATTTCAGAGAGTATGTTCGTATGACTCCATCGGTAGTCAGAACAAAAATTATGCCTGCTGTGGAGTGCATGCCTGAGGCAATGCTGATTATTCCCCAAGATCAGCATGTGCCTGGACCTCGTGTGGAGTCTATCTGCATGACAAGTATAGGAAGGGTCCTCATCTCGTCGAAATACTCAAGGCATGCTAGAAACCGAGTATCCCAAGAGCGTAGAATTCTTGGTATGGTCAGTAGTGGCTAGTAGATTACTGGAGAAAGCACTCACCCGTCAAATGAGCCAGAAGTAATCAGGTGCCACAGTTCGTGGTTGTTGAAAAACAGGTTCGTAACCGATTTTTTCGCACTGTTGGGAGGACTGTGTAGTCCCCCGTCTGCATCAACTCGCCATAGTTCTTGAGACCCTTGGATATTCAATACTGATCTTTGTGGGTTACTGACTCTCAGATCCCAAATTCTAACGGCACCATCGCGACCTCCAGAGGCAAGTAATTCTGGTTGAATCGGATCCCAGGCAACTGCTCTGACGCCTTCACTGTGACCTCGCAATACGCGTATGCATTGCTCCCTTGATGGACTTGAGATGCGAACGGTCTTGTCATAACCTCCCATGGCTAGCAGTTCATCCATGCTGTTCCATCGCACGTCAAGGACACGACCAATGTTAGATAAATATCTAGACTTGACTTCAACTATAAAGATATTAAGATCGATTTTGTATAAAGATAGTTGACGAATACCTGAAGTCTTGTCGGGGGTTGACATGTTAGATCCACAGATAATATGAATGTCCCCAAGGTCAGTTCCAATTGCAAGAACAGAGCTACGTCCCATTTTGGCTTCTGAAATTACTGTAACCATTTGATAAGTCTAAGCTGTTCTTCTTTGCTCACTATGACTGTAGGCACATGAATATGGGAAACAGCTGTAGGTATCGCGTGTATTAGACAATACGAAATGCTGTAGATACGCGCGCATGTTGACTGCATGCTCACTCGGTCATTATCGCGGTCACCGGTGATATTAGTCAGACTCACCATCTCTAAGAACACCACAGAAACTTGAAGGCAATAATGCTTGCCGATGTGCAGCCACTGTGCGGGTACTTGCTTGGACCCATCCTACCTTGGGCTTTTTCTCCATTCTATTGTGAGCTGGTAATGGAGACAACATGATTCTGAGGTGAATGCCTGTAAGCAGGTAGGCTGGGGTTTGGATGCATACTTTATTTTGCACGAGTACCACTTGACTCTAGACAGGCCGACAGTCATGGTGTGTCAACAGGCAGTCGCGTCCGAACCAATTATATAAGGTCACATGTCTGCAACAATGGCGCACATTCACTCAATCTCTCAAACTGGTTAATGAACATGGGTTTGGATATGGTCCTTTTGCCTCTGTGAGCTAAATAATAATGTATCTGCTTTGTATCTTACTGATGCCGACTTCTAGCCTAAGCCCTTTAGATGATCCCATCCTGCAAGACCTTTCCCATTCTGACATTTCCGTTATAGCCTCCACTGGGTCAGTGGGCTATCGTATGGTTTCTGATTTTGGTCGGCGGGCGTATCAGATTGAACTGTTCTTGTCTCCATTCTTCACCGCTGCGCAGTATTTGTCTTTCAGAGAGCTACAAGCTTCAACGGACATGTTGATCACCAGATATATCGCTCTTCATTTTCTGGACCGAACTTCCGACCTTAACGTGGCACTTGACATTGTTGTTCACTGCGATTTTGGTTTCGACATTCACCAATTCTTGCTAACTGCTGGGTATACCTTCATAACTGTCGACAGGCTGTCTTTCGACGCAGTCTGTCGACATTATGAACACTGTTTCCGGAGCACGAACCCTAATATGACTCTCGATTTTCAGAATGAAAATCCTGGAGTCGTTGGTGTTTTCTCATATCGGAAGAACGGTGGTCAAACTGTCGTTTTGAAGACAACAGCCTTCAACCCTTTTAGAGTGGTTCTTGGTCTCCTGTTGAGTATGCCTTCCGAGTCTGACCTTGTTTTAAAGACTGAGTGTTTGTTCTAGCTTGCATGCTAAATGCTATCAGTTATGTGCACGCCATTTCACTTTATCCACTGAGCTACTTTTATTGACCAGGTGGCATTTCCTACTTCCAGCGTTACCAACGAAGAACACGGTCTATCTGATTATGCTAAAGTCACTGCGTGAGGCTGGACCCTCTCCCCACCACTTGATAGCCTACAACGGAGAGAGTTTAGAAAAAACTGTCACGTGGGAGACAAATTTTCGTGGGTGGTTCCTCTACGCCATTGCTCTCCTCCTCCCAGATTGCTGTCGGAGGATCCGGTGTTCACACATACTTGGAGACCATCTCGGGACCCTAATGATGCAGTCTTTGTTTCAGTGTTTCATCATGAATTCAGCCGCTTTAGATATCGACTTTTGTTTCTGTGGTTGGAAGAAAGGTGTGATGCGGTCCATGTTGTTCAAAACAGTGCCTGTTCGGTGCGTGGTTATGGTTTTATTAAGGTTATAATTCTCTTCTAATCTTCCTATTTTTTTCAGAAGCTCGTTAATAAAACTGGGGAAGGCAATTGTTCCAGGAGGATTTTGGGAGGAAAACATAGACTTCGAGCATTACATGATATCTAACCAGTGACAGCAACCTTATTCCTTTTCTTATTGTTCAAGTTTGTTCGAATACTCCTTAATCTATGTCACGGATGTGCACCCACCCAGAGTCATAATGATTATGGTCTTGGGTGGAAATATGTTAGCCACTAACTCTATCGACTTAGATCGTACTAGGGTCGCTACTCGCACTTCGGTAGACGACACTCTAGTAAGTCAAAGGTGATGAAAGTCGATGGGACAAATAGTCACGAAGACGGAGTTTGATGTTAGGTAGAATTAAACCTTAGCCGAAGCTGGGGTTTAGGCCAGCTAAGGCTCTACTTAAATACACGTTGCGTACACTAAAAATAGGACTGTGAGAATGTCCGATCGAAACCGCAGTATAGCATAAGCATAAACACGTAAGAAAAGGAAAGAAAAAGGAAAAGAAAAGAAAAAGAAAAGAATATTCGTAACATTACCCCCTCCTTAAGACTCATTCATCCCGAATGAGAATGTTTCCCCTTCCTTCCGCAAGTCGAGCAAGAGGGGCTCCCTTCTGCTTTAAAACGGTTTTGATTGAGCCTCCGCTACGCCATTAAGAGTCACTTCGTTGCGTTCGGCCTCAGACTCTCTCGCCACCTGGATCCTGATGTCCGTGGGCATCCAGGACCACCTTGCGCCGGTTAGGCCTCTTGCTGTCTGTCGGGATCCATGATCCCTAAGGGTTCAATGCTTGTAATTGAGCGGTGGAAATCCCCTTCTACACCGTTGATATTTTCTATATTTCGCTCACTCCTGATGAACCACCTGATTCCCAATCATCGTCCTCATCGCCTGAAGATGAGTTTTTGGATTCAGTGTACAACGATAATGGGTCATCTCGATCATTGTTGTCATCATCTTCGTTCTTGTCCCAATTTTCGGTGACTCGCTGTAGGCTTTCGAGGTCGAGTTCGGAATCTTCATTGTCTGAGGTGGTTTCTATAATGGGTGTCCCCTCTGCCTCTTCCGCAGTGACTTCTTGAATATCCATATAAGACTGTGAGTCCGAGTGTTTTGGGTTCGTACACTCGGAAGAGTAGACTGTTTCGATGTCCATGATACATGGAGTATCGGGGTCGTGGTAGATCATCCCTGCGCCTAGGGGTATTTTATCGTCTCTCCCGACCGTCTTTCCATGCTTGTCGACTTCCCAATGGATCCGCTGGAGGCGGGCTTCGTATTCTGTCACCAGTTCCTCCGCATTTGCCATGTCAGAGCGTTTTACCCAGGAATTCTCCTCCCTCGGGTACCCTTTCCACTTTACCAGGTATTCGGTTATGGTACGACGTGTTCGGCCACGACCTATAACTTTATCTCGCTGTTCCATGATCTCCTCAATCTCGTATTCTTCTTCATCATCGATGAGTTCTGGCGGAGGTCGTTCCGGACGGGGTTGATTCGCGAAAACGGAAGCTACATAGGGTGTTAGGAGCGATTCGTTAAAGCGATTGTGAATTCTCCATTTAACAGGGAGTGCTAGTTCGTAGGCCGAGGCTCCTTTCTTCGCGGTGATAGTGAAGGGGCCGACGTGACGATCTCCAAGCTTCTTGGTAGGGCGAGGAAGGTTTAGGTTGGTTGTATCTAGCCACACCTTGTCCCCCGGCTGGTACTCCGTTGCTTGATCCTTGCGCTTGTCGTAAGCCTTCTTCATTGACTCGGCGGCCTTTTCTAAGGATGCCTTCACTTCTTTCTGTGCCTTTTCGATCTCCGTTACCAACTTCATTGCTGCCGGAACTATCATCAGACTCCGAGACATGGTAATCACCTGTCCGTCCCTTCCAAAGACCACCTTGTACGGGGAGTATCCCGTGGATGAATGCTGACGATTATTATGGGTGAAGGCCGCTAAAGGTAGCCATTCACTCCAGTCGTCCTGTCGATCATTGACAAACATCCTCAGGTATTTTTCGATCTCCTGGTTTACCCTTTCTGTTTGCCCGTCCGTCTGGGGGTGATACGCGGTGGAGGGATTCCCCTCGACGTGGATAAGAGTATAAAACTCTTTCATGAACTTTGAGACAAAGACCGAACCGCGGTCCGAAATGACTTTCTCAGGCATGACTCCGTAGGGCACGTAGACGTGGTCCCTCAGGATCTTGGCGAATCCTAGTGAGGTGAGCTCTTCAGTGCAAGCGATAGGAATGATGGTTTTGGAAAACCGATCAACGATGACCAGAATGGAGTCAAACCCTTTCGAATTGGGTAATTTAGTGATCATATCCACCGAGATATGAGTCCAGGGACGAAGGGGAACGTCGTGGGGGTGTAAGGGAGCCTTCTTTGGGCGTCGATCTGCTTTGGTTCGCTGGCAGACCTCACACCCTTTTACATATGCTTCCACATCTCGCCTCATTCTCGGCCACCAGTAGTCGCGAAGTATCAGTTCCTTGGTCTTCTCAACGCCCGGGTGGCCGGCGGTAGCGTGGTCGTGCTTGAGGGCTATGATCCTCCCTCGAAGGTCGCGGTCTATGGGTACATAGATCCGCCCATCATACCACAGCATGTCTTGATCGCGGGAAACCCCTTTCTCATGGTTCAGAGAATCCGAGATCCCTCTGTCCCAGTGATTAGGGTTGTGGGTCACCACCTTGATGCGTTCGTGTAGCTCTTCGGCGGTGGGCATGATTAGAGCCCTAAAGTGTTCCGCCTTGAGTACTGTAACATCCCGATTGTCCTCCTTTCCTTGATCGTGGTCCGCTCTCCGTGACAAGAGATCTGCTTTGCGATTCTGGGCTCCGGGCTTGTGATGCAACGTAAATTGATATTCTGCCAGCTCTGTTACCCACCGTGCCTGCCGTCGGTTGAGTTTCTGGGGTTTACGGAAATACTGGAGATTGGAGTGGTCCGTCCAAATCTCAAAGTCTTCTCTCGCCCCCATAAGGTACTGGCGCCATTCTTCGAGAGCGATCATGATGGCTAAGAGTTCCTTGTCGTAGATCTCGTAGTTGCGCTCAGTGGTGGAGAGTGCCTTGGACAGAAAGGCTACCGGTCGCCATTTCTCGTCTTGCCACTGGGAGAGTACGGCCCCCACAGCTCCTTCGCTGGAGTCTGCCTCCACCCGAAAGCATCCTTTGTCGAGCGGGATGGCTAGCACTACGTCTTCGTGGAATAGTTGCTTGAGTCGGTCGAACGCAGCCTGTTGAGCCTCTCCCCACTTCCACTCCTGTTTCCCAGTGAGCGAGGTCAGAGGCTTAACATGCTTGCTATAGTCTCGAATAAAGCGTCGGTAGAAGTTGCAGAAGCTGAGAAAAGATTGTAGCTCCTGCTTCCGTCGCAGGACGGGCCAATCGAGTAGCCCGGCAATTTTGACTGGATCCATACGGATCTTCCCCTCACTGATGATAACCCCGAGGTATTCGGTCTCCTCCACCTCGAACTCGCATTTCTCGGCTTTGAGGAAGAGGTGGTTCTTGCGCAATATCTGAAGCACCTTTCGAACTATCCTCTTATGCTCTGCCTTGGTGCACGAAGCAATGAGTATGTCGTCCAGGTATACGGACACTTCTCCTGCGGCTACGAGGTCCTTGAATATGTCATTCATCATCCATTGGAACGTAGCGGGTGAGTTGGTCAGTCCGAAAAACATGACCAACGGCTCGTAAAGGCCTCGGTTCGTTCGAAATGCCACTTTCCATTCATCTCCCTTTTTGATCCTCACATTGTTATAGCCCCACCGCACATCCAATTTGGTGAAGTACTTGGCCTTCTTCAGCCGGTCCATTAATTCCCCAATCAGTGGTAAGGGATAGCGATTCTTAATGGTCATCTCGTTAAGCTTGCGATAGTCTTGTACTGGACGCAGCTTTCCGTCCTTCTTTTTAACAAAGAAAAACGGCGATGCCATTGGGGACTTGGAGGCCTGGATACGTCCGGTAGATAAGTTCTCATCCAAGAACTTATCTAGCTCCTCCTGTTCGGCGGGATTCAGGGGGTAGACTTTGCAGTCCAGGTTGGCATTGGCGTTGGGGACGAGCTCGATAGCGTGGTCCCAGGGTTTTCGTGGCGGTAGCTCATCAAAGTTCTCTTTGTCGAATACGTCCTTGAACTCGCGATACTCTTCGGGGACGATTTCTTCAAAAGTTTTGACAGACTTTTTGGCATTGGCCCAGGCGGCTAGCTCATTGGCTTTAGTGCCCATGGCCCATACC